CCTTTTTGAGTTTGATATTTTCACAGGTTATAAACTATTTTGATAAAATATTCTATCACAAACCCGCATATATACGGGTCTTTACCTAGTTATAAATAAAATTAAAATTTATATGGCAAACCGATCGCGATCACTTTTTTAAGAACAAAAGTACTAAAAACTTTTTCTGCAAAATAACTGATTATTTCAGGGATTGATGGACATATATTAACTTTTATATATTGATTTACGATGAATGATTTTTTTTGTTAATGATAAATAGAATAGTTTTGCATGCTAATAGAGTAAAACTGTCGAGTACAATGCAAAATTCTTAGTTCTCTAATTAAAGTATAGACGCAAAATAAACTTTGAAAAAATGCTAATTTTTGGGCAAGAAGAAACCCTTATATATGTGTCTCAATAAACCATAAACCACCTTATTAATAATGATCATACATACACATTGAAATTGAAGGTTTGTAAAATTATATCATTGGTGAGATTACAAACCATTAGCCATTAGCTTGTTAAGGAGTGCGAGTGAATTGCTTGACAAATACATAGACCTCGTGACTCTCTCCCGGATCATCCTCACCGTTGATGACTTCGTCGTCGACGTCTTTTCAAACCCATCAAGACACGTGTCCTTATCCGTTAGGGCAGAGCTAAGCCACGTGGCGAGATCACTCATTTGCTGCTGAAACTCGCTGGCTCTAAGTGTCCGGAGTACGGCTAAGGACTTGTGGAGGTTGTCAAGAGAGTCTTGAAGCAACTCTCGACAATCCGACAAAGCGACACGGTCGCGTTTCCCTAACGCCGAACGCCGCGTTATGAGAAGGTATCTAAGGATGTCTTTGTTGTCTGATATAGCAACCGAAACTCCGGCACGTGCCCATTTGCTTGGACTGTTCTTGGCGACTGATGAAAACGGCGAAAGCGTTTTAAGGCAGAGATTTTGGTAGTGGGTAGCGCTACACGCGTTTTGAACGTAGTTGTTGCGGTTAGAAGCAAATAATGGAGTTGGATTAAGTGAAAGGAGAAATAAGAGAAGTGCAAATGAGATTGAAGAAGTCATTAGGTTTTACTTTTTTTATGGGTTTGTAAGAAAAATGTGTCGACGAGAAAAGAGAGTGAGTGAAGAGATTGTATATATAGACTAGGAACCATAAATGGTAGGTTAAAAAATTTGAAGTTAAAAAGCATGGCGGTCCATAAGTAGGTGTCGGAGTTATGATCACAACGTTTCAAAGGTAGGTTCTTTACGCTTTGACGATAATTTGATTTAAATTTGTTGCTTTAAATTTGTTGTTTCAAAGGTAGGTTCATGGGTTTAGTTATCTCTTGGCGTAATTAATTTGATTTACTATTTTGAATAAACATTAGTAATTTTGACCATTTTTCAACAACTACTCCAACCTACTAAAAACTAGAGAGCGATCTATTTTATTTATTCATTTTTGTAATCATTGATCTAATTCTCACTATACCATGCAGACTTAACAAAGATTGAAACTTGAAAGCATGATTTTCCTCATGTCTTAACACAATGATCAAAATCAGCTAATTAATTGTGTATGGAATGTAGTATCTTCACGTCGTAAAAAGACAAAAGGGAAAAGCTTTATTATTGTTTGGTCATGGTCATGAGGCCCATGACCATATCTCGTCGAATCCTCTCTTTTTGTTCACGACATAGCTACTTCCTTTAGGACGTGTGAGAGTTTTTTATATACAATAATCAGGTAATGCGTGAGCATTTATGAATACAGTTTTTAAAAATTGAATAAAACCACATGAATCGAGAGAAATAAGTATGGTTATGGCGATTCACATGATTCCTATGAAAACAAAAGACAATGCTCCTCAACACAAGACTTTATAAGTAATACACACCACAAAACAAAGATGATTGAGAGACAAATAAGAGGAAATCTACGACTATGAACCTAAACCATGTAATAGATCATAAAGGACTTCTGAGACATGAACACTCATGAATGGGGGTATAAAGAGAGATGATTGTGTGGTTACTTTCTTTGAAAAATGAACCATACTTATGTGACCCCATATCGAAAAAACAGGTTCTACTTTTTCTTTGGTTTGAAAACTAGAGTAAAGATCATNGCTGCACTCATGTGGCATCAACTCTTTTTCAAACTTCCTATCAAACTATGTGAAATCGCACAAGCGCAGACTCGGCTACACGTAACACTAGAACGACGAACCCTGTCCCTAAGCTGAGAGAATTCTAGTCCAAACTAGCACTAAACAGTGGCACTAGAAACAGTGTCCCTATCAAACAGAGATATTAACCATTATACAAGAAATGAGTCTCTAAGCCAAAGATAAGGCGTCAAATAACAAATAACAGAGTCAATACGAGGCATGAATGTAAGTGAAATGCTGTAATACTTTGATAAACACTAGAGAGACGAACCCTAAGCTGATCCAAACTAGCAAGCACCAAACGGTGACATATATATTAACCATGATACAAGAATGGGTCTCTAAATCAAAAGATGCAGTTGATAGATGATATCTGAAATCTGAGTTGATTTGGATGTAAAAAGAGAACAAACACAGAAACGTAGAAAAAAATGCTACTTTTCTCAATTCAACAAAACAAGAAACGAAGAACTAATCCGATTACAGAGAGTTTTCAATGTGATCAGTGACTGAGACTTACTCATACAGATTTTTTCCGAAGCATCTCCTCTGATGGAAGCTCCAAAGTAGCTCCCGCGTGTTCCTGACTTGCTTTCACCTCTACAACACAACCAAAACCGATTTTCCAAAAAGAATTAAGTTCTCAGTCACGCATTTCAACAAACAGATGGTGTACAAAGATATAAATCTGTGAGAAAGTAGACAAAGAGGGTAACGATTAGTGAAAGTACCGTATCCGCCTCGTTCGTTGAGCTTGGCCTGAACAATCATGGTGGAGATGAACTGTGTTGCCTCACGCGCCTCTTCGAGAAGACGAGTGATGTCGGAATCGGAAATCACGTGACGATTCTCTTCGAATTTCTTACGGATCTCGGACGCAGAAGCCTTAAGCATCTCGGAATCTCCGGCGAATGATTTCTTCGTAGCTCTGAGCAAAGCTCTGTATGCGATCAAAGCTTCTCCGGTCACCATTTCTCCTCCTCCGGTCGCCGTCTATTTCCTATGGGATAAAAATGTTTCTTACAAGCTTCGAAGGTTTGAAGATTCAGTGGGCCTTCGAATGTTTCACTTATCGGCCCATTAATAGATATGTTTGGTTTGCTATTGATTTAATATTCAAGCTCAGTTTTTGATCCTGAGAAACAATTTTGCATTGTTACAAATTACATTCATAGTTTTGTGACTATTGTTTATAACCCACGCCTAGGTAGATTAATTTTAGGATGAATTGAAAAGGTAACAAAGAAATTAATAATTCGTTAACTAACAAAAATTAGTCTATGTGAATTAGTTTTTTTCGTTAATTAGGACAAATAGTTAACTTTGAGTTATTTATACTAGATGAAGGACCCGCATATATGCGGGTTTGTG